GTGGGCCATCGGCCGGCAGGCGTGACATTTCTCCCCTTAGCCGAGGCCCGGCCTTGGTTGAGTCCACCTTCTCGTGTCCATTTAAACTCCTTACAACTCTCTCTAGGTGGTTTAGGGCAGGGTGCAGGGCAATGTGGGCACAGGCTCAAGAATATCCATGTGCAGTGGAAAATTCGTGGGCATTGGCTTAAGGATCTGACACAACAGAGTGAAAGTGGGACGGCAACCCACTTTAAAACTAACCAGGGCTGGCCCAGCAGTTGGCGTAATGGCTATGTCGCTGGATTCCCACGTAGTCGACCATGGTTCGCATCCCGGACCCGGTGGCTTAAAACTCACGTTGGGCACGTGTGCGTGCATGCCCAAGATCCCGAGAGGAGAATGGAGGAGTAGGGATCACCCTGGGGGGTGATTTCTAGCTTTCTGTCTCTCTGTCTCTCTCTGTCTGGCGAGCACACACGCCCTATGGCAAAAACTTCTCCCCCCACCAAAAAGAAAGAAAGAAAGAAAGAAAGAAAGAAAGAAAGAAAGAAAGAAAGAAAGAAAGAAAGAAAGAAAGAAAGAAAGAATAAACTCACCAGGGCTGGCCCAGCAGGTGGTTAAGACGCTGGACTCCCATATGGCTGACTGTGGTTTAAGTCCTGGACCTGGTAGCTTGAAAAATCATACTGGGCACATGTATGTGTGCCCAGAATCCCAAGAGAAAAGTGGAGAAGAAAAGATGGCAGTGTGGCCATCCTCCCTGGGGTTGATTTTTCACTATCTTCATCTCTGTCTCTCTGGCAAATGTACGCACCGCACCCTTTGATAGAAAACAAACAAAAACAACCACAAAATTAACCAGACCTCCTTCTCGGGTTCCAAAAGCCTTTGCTGGGGCCTCAGGTCATGGTTCCCCCAGGCTATGGCAAGGGGTCGTGTCTGCGTGAGGCTGGTGGACAGATGGACACATTTATTCTGTCTCCCAGGGAACCCCAAAGCACTGACCGTCCTCCATTCCTGTCTACTCTAAGGAGAGTCCGGCTGTTTAACCCTGAGGCATGACTGAGAGAGAGCCTGTGTGTGCCGTGCTCTGCGTGTGGGCTCCCCAGGGCCTGCCGCGGCATCACACACTCACACACTCAGCGTTGCAAGCTCAGAGAGGACCAAAGACTCGCCAGAGGTCCTGCTGCCATGACTCCACGCTGGGTCTCCCCACGCTCAGAGCTGGCCCACTGGGTTGTCACAGAAGGGTTTTCTTGATAAGTGGCTGCTCACTTCTCTTTCTCACTTTCCGTGTTCCTCCCCGGTTCATCTGTTGTTCTCTTGTTGGTTAGACCGGCTCTAGTTTTATGCTTCATGCACCAATCATTGAACAGAGACGTCAGGAAAACGTACCCCTTTAGCTTAAGATAAAGGACAAGAGGGATTTCCAGTTAGGGCCTTCCACATCAAACCAGGGTATTTTCTAAAGGACGCTGTCTCTGACTGCACTGCAGAGTTTGTGGAAGGGCTTTGGGCGAGGCCTCCTGTCCACAGCCTTCGCGCCGGGGCAGGGCTGGAGTCTGGCCCGTCCTGCGACCTCTGCTTCCCTCTGCCCAGGCCGGGGAGAAGAGCTGCTCCAGCCACTCCAGCAGCAACACGCTGTCCAGCAACACCTCCAGCAACAGCGACGACAAGCACTTCGGCTCAGGGGACCTGATGGACCCCGAGCTGCTGGGTCTGACCTACATCAAAGGGGCGTCGACCGACAGTGGCATCGACACGGCCCCGTGCATGCCCGCTGCCCTGCTGGGCCCCGTGCACCTGGCGGGCTGCAGGGCCCTGACGCACAGTCGGGCCGAGCAGTGGGCCGATGCCTCCGATGTCTCTGGGCCTGACGACGAGCCCTCCAAGATGTACACCATGCACGGCTACGCAGCCGCCATCTCCGCCAGCGGCACTGCCGACGGCAGCCTGGGCGACCTCAGCGAGATCTCGTCCCATTCCAGGTGAGCCTCCTCCAGGCCGTGGGCGGCCCCTGCCTGGCTTCACAGGAAGTGCATGGTCTCAGATCTGTCAATGTCCGGTGTACCTGACCCAACGGTCGGGTGGTGCTGTCCAAGCCCAGGCCCCTTCCATCCCTGGGCTCCACGACAGCCTCCGAAACCTTGGCCTCCCCCTTGACCTACAACAGCGTTGCCACCTGTAGGCCCCCGTCCCCAGGAAGAAAGTGGGTCTTTTCTGATTTCTGCACAAGGGATGGGTCCCTGCCCCCTCAGAGGCCACGACCCCCCATATCTCCTCACACATCCTTGGCTCTGAGCACTGTGGTTGGAGTGCCGTGGAGGGCCAGGGCTCTCCCCTGGGGCGGGGGCGGTCCACGCAGCTGAGGACTGGTGAATGTAACCGCCTCCCCAGAAGGAAACCAGAGAATAGTTGGCCCAGGAGCAGGGGCAGTGGAGCCTGCACAGCAGTAGCTCCGAATGCCTGCCTTGAGCTACCTTCCGTCTGAGGGGCAATGGGAGCAGAGGTGCAGGGGTTATTCTCAAAGGAGGTACCCCTGCTGCTTTGTTTATTAGTACATGCAGGCATTGTGTGTCATACCAAAATAATTTCCCTGTTTTGAATACACTGTATATTGGTCCGATCAAAGATGCTGCCGTAAGGAAGACGTGCGAGCAGCCAGAGAGCATGTGAAAAATACTTTTTACCTCTTCACGTTAATGGTCTGACACCGAATAACTAAAATAGGGTTTAAGGATTGACCATGAATTTGGTTCCCTAAATTATTCCTGGCTTAATTTCTGGAACAGTTAAAAACTGACCATATGATAAAACCCACCTTGAGATTATATAACCTTCTAATATCTTATTCATACTTTAGAAGATTTGTCAAACAACCGACATGATGACACCTTTTTAAACCAACATAATTGGCATCACAGATAGGGTTTTATCTTACTATGAAGTAAAAGTTCTCTAGAAATTACTTTCGGAGCACACCCATTTATAGCAGAGTAGGGATATTTATAGGCCTTTACAGTGATTTTCTCGGATACGCTAAGTGCTCACTAATTTAATGCGTTAGACTATTAGTAAGTGTCTGCCGATGCCAGATCGACTTTCTGATTGATGTTACCTTTCTCCGCCGTGTTCGGTGGCATGCGTGCACAGCTGTCGAGGGAACAGCACGTGTTGAGGGAGTGGAGTTCTCTACCACCTGACTGCCTCTACTCGTGTCAACTTCCGTAGGCGTCTGCTCAGGGTGGAATTCGGTCATTAAATGACCGTTAATGCTTGTTAATGCTTCTTCTGTCACCTCTAGCCTGTGCAGGAGGCAGGGCAGGGTCTGCAGGGCTTGCCTCAGTTGCCGTGTTGAAGGGAAGGACACTTGGCCAGCAGAGCACACGGGACGGCTGTCAGCCCTGCCCGGTGCACGTGTGCCTCGAGTTAACTTTAAATAGTTTACTGTCGAGATAAAAACCTTATGCAATCAAGTCTAAGTTGTAGAAAGCACCTCTTATAAAACAAATGGGTATACGTAAGGTCCGATTCGCTGTACATCTTCAAAACCGAACATCAGGTGATTTCAGGAGTGCAGTGCCCACACCAGCGCAGTGTGGCAGCTCAGCGTGAGCTGGGTTGTGCGGTCTTCAGTGGTCCGCCAGCTCGGGCTTCAGCTTCGTGCTCCTGGGGGAGGGACTCTCGCCCGCTGCTTTGCTTAGTCCGTCCGCGGGGGATGTGGCCCTCAGCGTGGTCAGTGTTCTCAGGTTCCGTGTGGAAATTAAGCGAACCCCCTCAGGTCAGCGAGCAGCTGAAAGCGGGGACAGTCTGTCTGATGCCATGTGTCCCCCACAAGCACAGCCCCTGTCCGTGAGGGAGGAGCCCCGGCTGGCTTCGGCCATAACCATCCCCTCGTTCTCTTTGTGCTTTTCTGGACACCATGCGGCGTGGTTTGCCATTCTGCAAACGTTGCTGAGCAATGGATTTGCGATTATTGTTTTTGCTTCTTTCATTTGTCGGTGAGATTACCCAAGGTGTCTGTGGTTTGGGTTCCTTCGTTCGTAGAGCAGCCCGGGTATCTGTTCCTATTTACCAACTGAATGTCCTCCCCCGGCGAAGAGTCAGTCCCCACCAGCGCAGGTTATTAAGGTCGACGTCTCCGTCACCGCTGGTCTGTTCCCAGCTGCACGTGGGCAGGGGTTTGAGTGGAGACGCCTGGACGCCGAATCGCTGGCTCAGGGGCTCTGCAGGGGCACCTCCTCACAGGGAATGCCACCAGCAGCAGGACAGGACCCGTCGCTCCAGGTCCTGGTGGACCCCGGCCTCTGGGTGTCGTGGGACACCCCCTGTCAGTGTGCAGTCACATCTACGTGGGCGCTTCCTTGGTGACGGTGAGACTGAGCACACTCCTGGTGTGTGCTCACCCTGCGAGCTCTCTCTCAGAGGGTCAGTTGACTGCATGGTCCAGTTTTCTACCAGGTGCCCCCGACAGAGATGTAGCATCCTCCAGCCACGGAATGTGCTGGCCTGAGTGGCCTGAGTGGAAGAGGCTGCACCCGCATCCCACCGACCTCGCACAAACGAAGCCACGTGGGCTGATGGGCGCAGGCGGCACTGCCAAAACCAGATCGACCGGTCACGGCTTTGTCTTCTCTCCCCAGTGGCTCTCACCGCTCAGGAAGCCCCTCGGCTCACTGCCCCAAGGCGAGCGGCTCTCTGGATACATCCAAAGTCTACATCGTGCCTCACAGCAGCAGCCAGCAGGGCCCTGGGCCCACGTCCAAGGCCTACCACAGGCAGGGCGCCGTGAGCAAGTTCGTCATCGGCTGGAAGAAAGTGGAGGGCAGCCCGCCGCCCGAGGAGCCCGACGTGGGCGACTGTGCCGGGTAAGGGCGCGTACTCGGCCACATGGCATTTCGGGGAGTCACCAAGCAAGTGCCCCCCACCAAGGGAGCTATATTGTCCAAAACACAGTAATCTAAAACATCTTTTTTAAAACCCCTTAAATGTTGCCATTTATATTTCTCGTTAAAAGTTTTTGCGTCTCTTTAGTTCACCCCCATCCCACCCTGGGGATGATTTCTCACTTCCCCTCTCTGTCTCTCTTGGTGAGTGCATGCACCCGACGGCAAAAACCTCAGAAAAGAAAAGAAATAAAAGAAAAATGAAATCTGTGTTCTTGGTTCTCGTGTTCGCAGAGCTCCCTGCACTTAGTCTGTACATGAGTGGGGTGGGGAGTTCGGCTCCCGCAGCGCCAGCAGCCCCTTGGAGTTGCCGCGGCTGTGACACCGTGCAGGGCGAGGAGCTGGCCCACTGTCGTAGCCCTCAGATTTCCCTTCTAGTTATTAGGTGTCTGTGGGGGCTTTGCATCCACTGAAACACAGAGAAGAAAGAGCCATGCCGACAACCCGCCTCTCGGCCCGCTCGAGCTTGCCACCCCCCCTGGAGCAGACGGAGGTCAGTGGTGTAGACCCTGAGCAGGCGGCTGCGCCCTTCAGCTCTGGGCACTCTTACTGAGCAAACCCTGTCACCAGGAAGGGCCGGCATGTTCTATGCCTTCCTGCAGGATCATCAGGCCTGGGGCAGGGTGCACCCACCATGTGCAAGGGCTGTGGGGACCCTTCAGAGGGATTGTCTGGATTTTAAGCTGGTCCCTGAACTCTTGTCTCTTTTTGCTCTTAAAAACTGAGGCTGTAATGGCCAGCAGGTGGTATGGAGATTAAGGTGCTGGACTCCCACGCGACCGACTATGGTTCAAGTCCTGGACCTGGTGACTCACTTTCTCACTTTCTCTCTTTCTCTCTCATGAGTGCACGTGCTTTATAGCAAAATTTTGAAAATAATTAATTAATTAAATAGTCTTTTTGAAAAATGAGCCTGTATTGGGCCAGCAGGTGGTGTGGTGGTTAAGGCACTGTACCTCCACCCCCACGGCTGACTCTGCAGTTTGAGTCCCAGACCTGACAGCTTAAAAAACATGCCAGATTCTTGTGCATGGATGTTCGGAATCCCAAGAGGAGAACGGAGGAGAAGGAGCTGGGGCTTGGCCTTCTCCCTAGGGAGTGCTTTCTTACTTTCCCTCTCTCTCTGTCTCCAGAGAGCACATGCACCCTATGACAATAAATAAATAAATAAGTAAACAGATGAATTAATTAAACAAGTTCATGTCAGTCTGGCTCTCATAGTGCTTTCTCAATTAAAAGCTATTTTAGGGCCGACTCCATGGCCTGGTGGTTAGGACAGCTGGATCCCTCACGGCTGACTACATCTGAATCTTGGAGCTGGTGACTTGAGAAGCAGGCTGGGAATGTTTGCCTGTGGGCCCAGAGTCCCGAAAGAAGGGCGAGATGGAGGAGAGAGGGTTGCAGCACGACCAGGCCCCATGGGTGTGCTTTGTCACTCTCCCTCTCCCGGGGTCTCTGTCTCTGGTGAGTGCTCGCACCGTCTAACAAAACAAAAAGAAAGAAAGAAAGAAAGAACGATTGTTAATGCCAGTACTGAATGCAAACTGTGAAAAAGCCAGGTCAGTAACTGCAGACTGGCCTCAGAGGCGTTGTGTAGAGCCAGCCGCACCTTCATTGCAGCAGCACGGGGCAGGGTGACACGGCGGCACTCCCACTTAGCTCACAGCGCGGAGTGCTTCCTAGAACTTCACTCCAAGCCGTCTTGTAAGTTCAGTGAAATGCTTTTGGAAGCATCTCGCACACCGCCGTAAGTGCTGTGTTCGCTAGAAAGACACGGGCGTGTCTGGGAGTGAAGGATGCCCACTGGGACGGTCTCACCCATCCGGGCCTGGGCATCCCCACCTGCAGGCTTGGCGGCTCCCACACACACTCAGCCACGGCAGGAGCGTCAGGATCCTAACGGGAGCAGTTTGCACGCGTGTTGGGAGGGAACTGGGACGTCTCCCTGCCGAGTCCCTCATCTCAGGCTCTGACCCCCGTGTGGCAGGGGACATGTGGTGGCCCCTAGGCATGTTCCCAGCAACCCTGGGAGGGAAGGGCGTTGGAATTCTCATTCTCAACCCTCATTTGATGGGGAGGACTCAAGCTCAGAGCCGCCATCACACGAGGCTGAGGCTGGGACTCGGGGCTCACGCTCAGCTTGGGCTCATCAGTTGGCCTGGCGGGCGTCCCAGGCCAAGTCCCGCAGCACCAGCTGTCCCTGGGCAAGGACATTCTCTGTGAGCATGCCAGCTGGAGTTGAGGCTTTACAGGACATGTACCAGATCGCCAAGAGCCATGCTCAGGACACCAGCGGAGCCGGCATGTTTGTAGCCCTGGGAACGAGGGAATTCAGGGTCTCACTGAGCGCAGAGCAGAAAGTCCGGTCTCTCCCAGAGGGACTCAGAGCTCTGAGACTGCTGATGGCAGCACCCCTCGCTATTTCTGGGAAGAGCACGATCGTGCGTTTATAGCAACACCAGCCAGCGAGCCCTCCGTCTCGGCCCCCACCGTCCTGCGTTCACGCGCTGTGCCCTTCCCGAGTTCCCGGGCCAGCGCCTCCGACCAGCTCCTCTCTGCACCTGTACCCAGCCCTTCCACACGGACTTGCCCACATGATTGCTCATCCCGGCCTGCTCTGCACGCCACACACACGTGCGCACACACACATAGCACGGCACACGCGCGTACACACACATGTACACACACACGCGCACACACACACACACACACACACACACACACACACACACACACACACACACACACACACACACACACACACACACACACACACACACACACACACACACACACACACACACACACACCCCGCAGGTCCCAGGGAGCCCATCCTGCTCACCTCTGCACTCCCAGGGCCTGGCACAGAGTGGACTCTGGGAGCATATTGGACATGCCGTTGGCTACTTTTTAAATGATTGCTCGTTTAGCAGCGAAGACTGGTGACCTTTACTCAGACACACGGGGTCGGGGACGCAGCAGCACAGTGTCGTCTTCCTAGCTACAGGTGACCTTTTATCTGTGCAGGTGCTGATGGGACCTAGGGCTCTTTCCCGTGCCTTTCCCAAAGCCCTCCCTGAGGCTCGGGGTCAGAATTGGGGCACTTCCTGGATGTGCTCTTCATAAAACTGCTGCCCTCCCGGGCGGCTGCTGGTACAGCTCCCCGCTACCCTCCCGGCTGGCCCGCCCTGGAGGGCGCTCTCAGCCAGGCCATCCACAGGCCAGAAGCCTTGCGGGTCTCAGCCGTTGTTGGTGTCATCCATGTTGTTTGTGCTAAGGGAGCTGAAAGGGGCGGGGAAACCTGTCCTACCTCTGAACAAAGAGAAGCCACCAGGGTTTTCAGAAAAGTCTTTCCTAATTGCAAGCATGTCTGTGAATCTTTCTTATTCTAGCAGTTTCCCAGCGAGCTGTCATGCTGTGACAAGGTGGCCTTGCTGAGGAAACCAGAGTCCTCTCGGTGCAGACAGCAGCGACTCGCAGGCCATCATCTGCAGCTCCTGCGTGGAGCCTGGATTCCTAGAATATTCCTGTTACAGGTCCCGTGGCAAGCCCACGTGCCACTGGGCCCGGGAGTGTGCCTGCCAGGGTGTGTTCTCAGAGGGAACCTTTGGAATTGACGCTTCGGCTTTCTCCCTGGGAAGGCGCTGAAAACAGTAATTGAGCAGGGCAGCCTTTTGTTGTCCATAAATACATTTTCATATACTGATAATTGAGGGAGACAGCTGCTTTATTTATCCAAACAGCTTTGTGAAATTGCTGATAATAAAACATGCTTGGCACATGCCTGGATTGATTACTCCAAACTCCAGGCCCCTGTAGGTGACTCTCTGTCCCCAGGTGTGATGGGGCCTGGCTGTCCCGCCTCCAGAGAGACTGAGGTTTCTGAGAGGCACAAAGGTTGCCTCCAAAGACAAATGATAATTGCTGACGAATGATTGAAACTGGGCTTTCTGACTCAGATTAGCAAAGAGGAAACAGCCTTAATTTAGAAGTTGGCTGGCCATATTTTTCTCGTCCTGGGCTTTGGGGGTCTGATTTGTTTCTGAATTATTCAGAAATCCGAGCTAGTGGTCAGGCCGCTTTCACAAGCATGAAGGGGCGCGGGAGGCTGGAGCAAGGTGGCGAAGCGGACGGACGTGGTCATTAGGAAGCGTGTGAGTGTGTGCTCGCACTTGTCGAAACAGGGCACGAGGCTTCTTTCCTGCTCCTGCAGGCCCTGCGCGGGTCGGCGGCCACTACTAATCTCAGTCTGGTTCATTTCTCCAGGATGTACAGCGAGATGGATGTCCTGGCCCCGCCGCCTCAGCTTCAGGCAGTGCCGGGAGACGCCGTCACAGAAGCCCAGCACGTCCTGTCCAAGGAAGACTTTCTGAAACTGATGCTTCCCGACAGCCCCTTAATGGAGGAGGGGAGAAGGAAGGTGTGCGACTTTGTGAGGCTTTGTAGTTACCGGAAACACTAAAAAAAAATGTCTAAGAAAGAAACCTGAGGGTTTCCAAAACCTTCCACACTCGTCTCTGGAGATCCAGCCTGTGCTCAATGTGGGGGTGGCTGTTTCCAGTTTCACCCGAGCCATAGGCAGGGAGAGCCTGGCAGAGGCTGTGCGGGTCTTTCCGAAGTCAGGCCAGCTCAGCCTCCAGCCACCGCTAACAATGAATCACTCGCGACTTTGTGCAGGCGAGTTGGCTTCTCACCCTCAGCTGGAAGAAGGGGAGGGTAGTAGCCGAATACAGCATTAGCATGAAGGTGCGGGATTCCCTGGAGAGCCCTGCAGGCCCTGAGCCAGCTGGGGCTGTGAGCTGGCCATTTCGTTCCCACCCTAGCTTTGCTCTGGCCGTAGCCTCTGCTCCACGCTGGCCTTCCTCTGACATGAGCCTGCTCCAGAAGCAGACTGTGCTTCGACAGGACCCTGCCTGCAGGCCGCACGTGCAGGGGCGCTGCCTGCAGTCTGCCAAGTTCAGGTGCACCGAGGTCGCCAGGGAGGGCTGTGCTCAGACCTCGGAAGCGGCCCACATTGGTGGCATTCCGCATTCACCATGTGTTGCCCTTTGATCGTGGTAGATTGCTTATTGCTATTCCTTTTCACTTCATTATTATTACAATCTCTTCAGCATGTTGTTAAATAATGCAAATTTAGCCCAGTTCCCTTTCTGTAGTAACTGAGGCCCCTCGTAGTAAAACATGGAGTTCACGCTTTTGGCCCAGAGTTACGAACACACTTTGCCTTCTGCTCCAGCGCTCCCCTTGTGTGAATGGAAAGGAGAAAGAAGTCAGGTGTCACCATACTGACAGTGACAGGGACCCACGGCAAGGCGGGGGCTTCTGCCTCCCTGTAGTGAGACAGTGCTGCAGCGAACGTAACCGTGTCCTAGGCACTACACTAACCAGATGCAGCCTCGAACTGCTTTAATCTGATCCTTGTAACCATGCTCTGAGAACCTGCTGGTCCCAGGAAGAGGGACTGCCTTAAGAATGCCATCCGAAAGAACTGTTCTCATAACTCGTGTCTGCGCACGTATGTGCTCTGTGTGAGCGGGGCTGAGGCCGGCTGTTGTATGCAGTGCAAATAGCTTTTCTTTTCTCAGGAATGAACTTCTTGACGTGTTTTTTCCTCCTAAGACGAATCACCTTCTTTCCGTAGCGGAGATCTGTGGTTCCCACACATTCCAGTTACCATTCAGAGCTGGAAAGCCGTGCCGGAGTGGAAGGAACACACACAATGGAGATATTTTTAGCCGCGTTCTGCATTCACACGTGGAAATAGCCGTTTCTATATCTGTTTGATGTGACTATTCGGGCGTTTACTATTGTTTAAGTAGGAGGACTGTGGTTCATGATGCAACAGAAGTAGTTGAGAATTCAGATTCTTTTTAGTTTTGCTTCGCTATTCTGTTATTTCTCTAGTAAGAATTTTCCTTACCCTGCCTGACAGTCAGCACGTAGTAATTTTAATGGCTCCTTTAAATCTGGTTATGATCTATTACTTTAACTCAGTTTTCAACACATTATAATTCAGACTCTCGATACTTTTAACTGAATGATCAGCTTTTACTGGACTGATACAATTTTTCTTGATCCCGTTTGAATGGCTTAGAGTGCTGCAGTCTTCAAAATTAGTTTTATTATTATTTAGATCAGATTGACCCACACATGCAGTTGATTGGTACAGAAATTGCCTAATATTAAAATGTAGTCATTTCTAATTAAAATCAAGCCAGCACTGTGTGTGCTTTGGAATAGCTGTCTCCTGAAATGGAAACCGTATATATTTCCAGGAGCTGTCACTGCTTTAAGGTTATGGAGGTTCCACTTAACATTTCAGAATTAATAAAGCTGGGCATGTCTAATTCAGGGTACGCTTTCACAGAATGTCAGAGGAGGAAAACGTTTAGAATCCAATAACCGCACTGAAGCCCCCCTGTGCCCGCCGCTGTGGCCTGCCACCTGGCTCCGCGTCCCCGAGGGGCTGTCAGAGCAGTACATGAGCACGCCCCGCCGGTTGCTGGGCTCTGGCTGTCAGTGTTTAATGTCTGCCCTCCCTTCTTGTTCACACCCTAGTTTTCGTTCTATGGGAACCTGTCTCCACGGCGGTCCCTGTACCGTACTCTCTCCGACGAGAGCGTGTGCAGCAACCGGAGGGGGTCCTCGTTCGGCGGCTCCCGGAGCTCAGTCCTGGACCAGGCCCTGCCCAACGACATCCTGTTCAGCACCACCCCGCCCTACCGCAGCACGCTGCCTCCGCGCACCCACCCCACACCCAGCGTCGGCAGCCTGAGAAGTAAGTGGGCCCGGCCCTGCCAGCTCGAGGGCGGGCTGATTGCCTCGGTGGGCTCTCCAGTGCGGTTGGGGGTTTGCTGTTGATTGTTAAACATTATACGCCATTCAGCAGTGTGTTTCCTTTTTCTTTTCTTTAATTTTCAAATAGTAAAAGCCCTACAGTGGATATTTTGCAAAGAGTCAGACACTGCCCATTCTGAAGGACGTTAAAAACCCGTAAGAGGGCCAGCAGGTGGCGTGGAGGTTAAGGAGCTGGATCCCACATGGCCAAGTTCGAGTCCCAAACTGGCAGCTTGAAACTCATGCGCGCACCCACCCCACACCCAGCGTCGGCAGCCTGAGAAGTAAGTGGGCCCGGCCCTGCCAGCTCGAGGGCGGGCTGATTGCCTCGGTGGGCTCTCCAGTGCGGTTGGGGGTTTGCTGTTGATTGTTAAACATTATACGCCATTCAGCAGTGTGTTTCCTTTTTCTTTTCTTTAATTTTCAAATAGTAAAAGCCCTACAGTGGATATTTTGCAAAGAGTCAGACACTGCCCATTCTGAAGGACGTTAAAAACCCGTAAGAGGGCCAGCAGGTGGCGTGGAGGTTAAGGAGCTGGATCCCACATGGCCAAGTTCGAGTCCCAAACTGGCAGCTTGAAACTCACGCCAGGCATGTGTGTGCCCAAAATCCTAGGAAGAGGATGGAGGAGAAGGGATTTGGGCATGGCCATCCCACCCTAGGGAACGATTTCTCACTTTCTGTCTCTTCTTGCACCCTATGGCAAAAGTCTTTAAAAACACTATACCTTTTTATCAAATCAGATAGTTATTTCTATACCGTATCTCAGCTATGTCTAGAAAGCAAAAAATGTCTGAAGTCTGATTTGTTTGTTTGAAAAACCGGCACGCAGGGCGGGCTGTCCTGATGGCAGCGGGCAGGGGAGACCGTGGCCTCTGGCCTCGCTTGCTGACTCACACCGGGCTCAGAAGGTAGCGGTGACGGAGGCCCCAGTGTCAGGCCTGGCTCTCCGTGCCTGTCTGGTGTCCCCGGTCCCAGCATACTCTTCCATTTACCCCTCACAGGTTGGCCTGATCATTTCTAGAGGACTTTCTTCAAGTCCTAAAGTTCTGTGATTTGCCAGTTCTTTTTAGTGTAGCAATTCTTAGGGGCTTTTTTGGGTACCTTTGTCAGTTTTTCCATTTTCACAGTTAATTCTTGTTGTACAGAAAGAATAGGAATTTGATCAGAAATATATTCATTGGCAGGGAAAGCATTATCTTTAGAGCATGGAAGTCCCAGCTAAATGAAATAAAAGCCTTAATGATGTTTCTGATGTTTAGCATTAGCATAATTAGAAATGAACCTTGTCTCATAAAATGCTTACTCTATTTCTTCAAGTAACCTAATATCCTCCTGCTACAATGAGTCTGTTCACTGAGGCTGAAGCTCCTTTCCACCCTGTGAAAGGTCCGACAGGTTCTGCTCCCCAATATTTCACCAAGTGTCTGCCCTTTTTTGTAAATGGGCGACGTTAATACCCTCCTAACAGCTCTGTGCCTGCAAACGGCATCCGCTCGCCCGGGCGGCCGGAGGGTCGTAGTGAGCCCTGGTGTGAGGGTCAGCGTGGCTCTTGCATGTCCACCCCTTCTTTTGCTTTCATGTGAACGTGTAGATTCTCTCTCTCTCTCTCTCTTTTTCTCCTATAGCTTCATTTTTAAAAAAAGAATGATTTATTTAACTTTATTCATTCATTTATTTTTAATCTGACCTGAGAGAGACACACATACAAACAGGGGGCAGGGGGGAAGGTGAGAAAGCAAGTCGCCAGGTCTGGGACGTGAACCATGGTTGGTCATGTGGGAGCATCCAGCCCCACAACCACCACGCCACCCGCTGGTCCCCTATAGCTTCATTTTTTGAAATTATTTTTAGGGCAGTTTTAGGTTCACAGCAAAAAGCCAAGTGGAAAGTATAATATTTCTTGTGTGGCCCTACACACATGCCGTCTCCCAGCACAGTGGACATTTGTCACAGCTGATGAACGCACATTGACACGTCGTCGTCTTGCAGGCCACAGTGGACCTGGAGACTACTCTTGGTGGCGTGGAAGGGGACAGAGGTGCGCCTGTAAAGGAGGACCCGGTTCCGCATCGGGAACTCCCCCGCCCCTGAAGCTCCCTGTGCTCCGCCTGCTGCCCCCTGCCCGTTGGCAGCCTCGAACCTCTCATCTCCTTATGGTCTCCAGGCTTTGCCTTTTCCACAGTGTTACAGACACACACAGGACTTCAAAAAGTTCTGGGAAAAACGGAGTCAAAGTCTGAGTTTGCTTTGATGTGAGCAAAGGGAATCCGTGCCCGGCGTTCTCACGGCACGTCTCTTCCGTGACCTCGTCAGGCTTCCTCCCTTAGGGGTAGGCGTGTGAGGCTCCTTCGTGTCTTCTCATGGCTTGAGAGCCCGTTCCTTTGTCGTGCCGAGTAATATTCCGTTGTATGGACGTACCACAGTTCATCTCTTGTGTGTCCTGGAGCGTTTCCTTTTTCAGAGTGTGAAGGCACAATAGGGACGCGGGTGAGGTACACTGCTTAGTCACTGTCCTAGCCAAAAACCGCCTCCTTGTCTAGGGGGAGACAGTGACAGCTGCCTGGTCATTTCTGTTCTCTGACTCCCCCGACTCAGCAGTGCGTCCCCCCTATTTGGGTACTTGAGGACTACTCAGAGAGGGCTCTGGTTTTAGTGCATCAACAGGAAGTGGCGGCGACTGCACCGTGTCCGCCCCCCAGCAGACCCCTGCTGGCACACCCCTGCCCCCGGGGCGGGAGCTCCAGCTCCAGGTGTTTGCAGCACACTGGTTCCTGGCCCTCGGCTGCACCGTCGCCTCTGGGGTCGCCTCTGGGGTTACTTTCTTGTCTGCTCGGGGCAGATTTTCGTCACCTTTGCTTTCTGCTTGTTCTGTATATGTCATCTGAGAAACTTTCGCTCCTGAAGATAGTGAGACAACCTGAGACTAGAATAGCACAGAAAGCTAGAATGGGGTTGCTCGTGGCCAGAAACCTTTGAGCAAGAAATGAGGCCTACTTGGTGTTTTTGGCTTGTCTCGTTTTCTCAGAGAGATCTAACTTCTTGCCGAAACTTGGAGGGGGTGGCTCCGCCACATCTCCCGGCACTGGATGGTTTTCAATAGCTGGTAGAGTTGGGCAGAAACCTCTGAAGGCTCCCACGTTCTTCCTCTGGACATTGAACCCAGAGCTTTCCGAGGAAGCCTCCGATCTGAGACCCGTTCAGATCACGTTCGGTTTTTGGAGTGAGGGTAGCGAGGACAGGGCCCGCAAGTCCCTCTCTTCACCGTGAATACAGGAGACCTAATCTGCACTTTCCCACAAGGAATAATTATAGTCACAGGCTTCTCTTTTAAGTATGTTTAGCTTTTCAAAGTCCCAGATTTGAACCTGTCATAGGCACTTTCTTCTCCTGAGACCCAACTTTAATCCAGCCTCATGAGACAGTCTTAAACCCAGTCGGGCTGTAACTCCCGTGATGATCCACACCCATTTCCTGTGATCTCGTGGGCAGGTGCTGCCCCCCCCCCC